ACCCAGCTCTGGCTGAGTCACCATGTCCCCTCCACAGAACCCATCCTAACACAGTAAGAACGAACAGCAAAAAGCCAGGACCCAGAATGGCTGGAAGGTGCAAGGAGCCGTGGAGATGGAGAGGTGGACAAGAACAGCAAGCAGAGGAATCGGAGATGCAGAAAGGACTCCTGCAGGCCAGCCCCAAACACAGCACCTGTGCTCCTAGTCTGCACCAGCGACGAGAGGGCACCACCGCCCTCAGGTGTGGTGACCTGGTGCCACGGCTGAACCACGTTATTGGGGTGTGAGGTTAGCACCGCAGGCCCAGGAAGGGCTGGGGGACGCAGAACTCAGGTTCAGCTGTCTGCAGTGACCAGACGGAGACATATGCAGGCAGCAGCTTGCAGCTTGGTGAAGAGTGCACAATCTGCCATGACGACGGTTAGTTCAAGACGAGCAGAGGGCTAAGCCAAAGCCAAGGTGCACAGGGTCACTGGGAGACACAGCAGGACCACAGGGCTGGACGACCAAGGAGGGGAAGCAGCCCCAGAGGCAGAGGCAGGTTAGTGGCCTGTGACAAATGAGCATGAGCTGGAGACGTGGGGAAAACAGAGCAGTGCCCTTGGGAGTAGGAAGGTGGGGCCCTCCTCCCTGGAGGTTGAGGGCCCAGCCAGGTCAATGGAAGAAAGGACACTATGGTGACTGTGAGGCCGGGCCTGCTAGGAGGAGCAGCAGCAGAAGGCAGGTGTCCAGAGCTGATGACCAGAGCAAGGCAAGAGCCGACAAGCCCATGGACATGACCATATGTGGGATGACCATGCAGGCAGGTGGACAGTGGACCAACAGTCCACAGGCAACAATGGGAGTGATGGAGAGGCAAAGTACGGGAACGAGAACAGGGAAGGACACAGAGCCAGTAAGTGTTTCTATGTAAAGACAAAGGCGCTGGGACTTCCCTGTGGGGTGAGAAGCCACTGGCCTGGCTGGGACCTGGGATTTGCTTTGTATGCTTGCAAGGTTGGACAAGTGGTCAGTTAGGGGCCTAGGAAAAGGTGGTTAGGAAGGACAGTCTGCAGAAGCTGGGGATGAGGGTCTGGCTCAGAGCTCCCTCACAGCGCAGGGAGACTCCCTGTGGGAGGAATGGCCTGGCTTGGTGGACAGAAAACTACCCAGGGACCCTCAAAAAGTAGCCTATGGGTCCTCCTGCCAAGACCCACAGAAGCCCACTCTATACACACACACACTGCCTGACTCAGAGCCACCAGAGGGATGTGCTTCTAGAGACCTGGTCTCTAGGAAATACACCTTTAGGTAGATCCTCAATCCTGAGAAAATGTGGATTTTGGCTCTTAGATACACAGCCATGAGATCCAGAAAGATCGGGCCCAGGGCCTCCAGCCAGCACTGCAGTCCACTCCTTCATCTGCACCACCTACCCTTCCTGAAGATTTGACTTCGGCTGTGGGACTGGAAGGCAGGTAGAGGCCAAGCGGTGGGCCCTCAGCACTGGCCTACCCATGCTCGGCCGCCCTGGCCAAGAGAAACTGCCATCCCTGGGCTGCGACTCAGGTGGAGGACAGTGCTGATTTGAGGTTCACAGCTTCACCTCCTTCCTGTGTCTGATCCAGGCACCTCAGAGACCAGATGCGGCCTTACCCTGACAAGGACAGGATAGAGGAGCCTTGAGATGTCAGAGCCCTCAGGGCTGGGGAAAGGCTGCTGGCCACAGGTGGCCATGTCCAGGATTTCCAGCTGCTCTGCTTAGACGAGGCTGTCGGTGCCTCAAGCACCTGAGGCCCCTGTACACATGGCACCAGCCTACACAGCTCAGAGTCAGAGGCAGCCAGTGAGTCTCCCAGCCACACAGGAAGAAGATTCCTAAGCCACGATCACCATTGCAAAGAAGTATTTTGTAGCAGGTCCTCTGGAGCCGGGACACCAGGCAAGGGAAGACCCGGTTGCCCCAGGTACCCACAGGAGCCGGCTCCACTGGCTCACGTCCTTGCCCGCGACAGGAGGTAGGAGAGGATGAAGAAGGCCACGATCAGGCCCCCGGCCACCACGCACAGCAGCTTCCGGTTGTCTCGCCCGGACCGCGCCATTGTGGAAAAGCGCTTCACACTCCCCGTGAGCAGGCCTGTCATGCTTGTGAAATCCGAATCCTGAGGGAGGAATCACAGCGCAGCACAGTCACACAGGGTGGGGCCTGCAGAGCAGGCAGAAGGCAGAGTTGACCGAGACGCTCATGCACTTCGCAGACCTTACCATGCCATCCAGGTACCGGTTCTGGTCCTCTGCATCCCTATCGATGTCCAGGGCCAGCTGGTTAGGACACAGGGGGCAGGGTCAGGCCAGGGTACGCACACTGAACAGGGCCTGCCCCCCACAAGAACAGCAGACCTAGCCAACAATTCTGACAGACACTGCCACCACAAGTCAGGTCCAGGCGTCACCTGGGCCTCACAGGTGGGAAGTACATGAAACCCTTCCAGGCCTCCACCCACTCAGGTCCTGGCTCCACGGTGCCAGCTGGACGGCAAAGCAGACCACTACTGACCGATTTGAGCCTGGTGACCTTGGAGGCCAGGCTGTCAGCCATCCGCACATTCTCCTGGTCTAGAATCTCCTCCACGGCACCCGAGCTCTGAGCTGCAAGAAGAGAGAAAGGCTGAGGGGCACATCCACCAGCGCAAGCCCTTGACCCCTGCAAGGCAGCCCTTTGTGGCCTCCAGGCTCTCACTACAATCCCATCTGGCCAAGTCTGACGTCTGGTGAGCAGGTCCAGCCCTAATCCAGTGCATGCACTTCGCACAGGTGAGATGGGCTGCATGAGCACCTATCGCGACCACATGTCAAGGCCGGGGTGGACAGGCACCCCCACACTGTACAACCCCAAACAGTTCGGTCAAACGCACTTTCGGATGCGGTGTGACACATCTGTACCCTCCCTCCCGGGATGCCTCCCTCCCTCCCTGTGCCTGGAGCCTGTTCTCAGACATGAACAGCAAACAGGTGAGCAGTCAGGAAGAGCGCCCAGGGGACAGCAGGGAGGCCTCCGCAGGGACCACCTGTAAACTGAGTCCTAACTAACAAGAAGTAACTAACAAGGACCCAGGGAGGAAACTAAGCACTGCTCCCCAACAACGAGGGGGCTGATGGCAGGGCCCCGCGCGAGCACACTGCCTGCCAGGCCTGTCCCATCAGGTGTGTGAAAACCACCTCCCCCGACGCTGCCGAGAACCAGATGCCGCAGCGTGACCCAACTACTGGGGCCCGGCCCCAGAAACCGTCGATGTGTCCGTACCCCAAGGGGAAGCTGTCAACGTCCTACCAGCCACTCAGGTTCACTAATCCCTACGGGCCAGGCGAGCTCGGCGACACAGGCAGCGGCACTCCGCTCCGCAGGTGAGAACGGGGGCTCCCCGAGGAAAGTGTCCCTGAGGCCCCCCCACCACGCCGCCTCCGGGACACGCCGACCGGGGCCCAGAGCAGAACGGCCGCGCGGGGGGCGGAGGGGGTGCTCTGGGCTTCGGGCCCCGACAGCACCCGGCCCCGCCCGACACCCAGGG